GCAACAGCTAATAGAGAAGAAGTATCATGTAATGTACAAGGATTAGTGTACGTGAAGTATCTTACTAGTGTGTTGATGTCTCAGTGATCTTGAAAATACAAAACTAGCAAAGTTTAAATTATTGTGTAGCAGCTGGTAGAAGAAGAGAGTCGTCTGCTCTGTGTTTAGTTGCCTAAAAATGAAAAAAAGAGTTAAATATAAAAGTGTTCTTATAGTATCAATTTTAAGACCTTATACACAAGTACAATGTACATGTACATGCACATGTACTTTTTATTAATAAAACAAACTTCCTTTCTCTCCAGTCAATCTATTGCACTGCCACCTGATAGAGTGACTGACAGATCCAGTGACATTGAAGATGATGACTCATTTAGGTAATGATGACAAGGAAGTGAGGAGAGAGAGAGAGAGAGAGAGAGGGTTGAGATAGATAGAGATAGCAATTAATAGTAAATAAAGAAATGTGATGGGTTCAATATAATTTTGTGATTATGTCAGTCAAATGATATCCAATGCTTTGACAGCTAGGCCTGGTTTGTATACATCTATTATTAGCATTGACTAGCTGCATGTAGTTCAAGTTTCTGTCAGCCATTTTGTCTGCATAATCACTATTTATAGATGTCTTGTGCAAATACATATATGTACATGTAAATGACTATAATAATAACTGCATGGTTGTTATATTGAGGTTTGAGGTCAGAGTAGGAAGTGAGCCACAAGGCAGGATAAATACTATATTTTTTATTTTGTTCTTTTTTTACACTGATACAGTGATAAGTTCAAAAGAGTGTTTGCCAAGACCTATAAATGGTCACCAACTAGAGACACTGAAGTGAGGGAGAAGGTGGAAGATGAACTGTTTGAATTATGAAAGAACTGATGATGATAATGGTGTTTGTGTGTTTGTATTAATTATTATCTATTTATGAGTGAAATTCAATCTCTTACCCTCTCCCTCTTTCTCTCTTTTGACTCATTGTTCCTACAATTAATGTATTTCTTTTGTAATATAATTAATATAAGAATGACAGCTACTCTATAAAAATTAAATTAATAGAAAATTACACAAAATTGAATAAAGTGTATTTGCTGTACATGCATGTAGCCAACTCTTATAACATGTCGTCAAGTAAATTTGGTGGGATTGCAATACAAAAATAATATGACACCTACAACTCAGTCATAATCAATATCTTTGGCTATGCTGTGCTTTAATTTCCTTTATCCTGTTTAACCTAGAATACAATAAAATGAGTACATTAATCTTAAGTTTGTCAAATTGTCATTAAATTTTATGAAAACTGATCATAAGATTTGTAATCAATAATTTTGTTCAGTGAAAATGAATAAAAGAGAAATGGTTTAATCAATAAGCCAACACTTACATGGAACTATAATAATTATACTAACATAAATATGTACACATTATAACTACAAAATGCTATGTGTACAATTAATAACATCATACATGTACTGGTATATCTGTACTAGAAATAAATTTTGTAATTAACTGATAGTACATGTACATGATGATACATGAGGTTTACTGACCTTGCTTCCTCTGCCTCTTGTATTTCTGATCTCTCTTTATCTGTTAACTTCTTCATTCCCTCTCTATTGTCTCTAAATAATTATAAGCAGTAAGAGGTGTATGTAAGTGTGTGTGTATACATAATGTGTGTGTGTGTTCAGTAGTACTTGTAATATATGACATATCCATCACCATATAGTCCAAATGAGTATCTGTCTGAAGTGATGGAATACCATCTCAACTTATTCTCAATATCAAGACATGATATCTCAACTGGAAATGATATTCTCTAATAGAATCAGAGAGAACATTAAATAGTGTATGTTTCAATGACTAACCTCTGTATAATAGATATACTCAGCAGGAACTCCACTTAACTCTGACAGCTGTAAAACAAAATGATACAAGTAATAATAACACATACTCTCTCAAAGTCAAAG